AGAATGTATGTTCTTAACATTGGGATGTACCATTATATGTATGTCTGTCATGCATAGTTGTTCTACAGTCACATTTAAGTCTCTTGTATCTTTGTTTAGTTTCCGTTTAGAGAATCTGTCCAGCTCAGTAATAGGAGTGCTAAAGTCCCCTGTTACTATGTTGTTATGGTATATCACATTGTTCAGACTAATTAAGATCTGTTTCAGGAACCTGGGAGCATTTAACTTGGGTACATATTTAGAATTGAAATGTCTTCTTGTTGTATTGTTCCCTTCACCAATATGAAGTGTCCATACCTTTCTTGATTTTAGTTACTTTAAATCCCTTGTATCTGTGAATAAGACTGCAACCCCTCTTTTCTTCTGAATTCCATTTTCTCAAATAATTGTCTTCTATCCCTTAACTCTGAGTTTTAATTTGTCCATCAAGGCTACTTATGTCTTTTGAAGGCAGCAAATAGAAGGTTTGTGTTTTTGTATCCAATCAGCCAGCCTATGTCTCTTCAATGGAGAACTGAAGCCATTAACATTTATTGAGATAACTGATAAATTTGGTGGAGTTCTATTCACATTATTTTGTGAAAGTCCATTGCTCAGTTTTATATTTTGCATCATTGCAAAAGCTATGTTTTGCCCTATAGTTTCTGTAGGCTTACTTTTCTGGTGGCCCATTGTGGTGGTCAGTGTGAAGTATAGGTTGAAGAATTTCCTGTAGAGCTGCTCTTGTGGCAAACTTCCTCAATGTTTGCCTATAACTAAAAGATTTGATTTCTCCATACATTTTAAAGCTTAGCTTATCAGGATATAGAATTATGGACTAAAAAATTGTTTTAAGTAGGTTAAAGATAGATGACCACTGTCTTCTGGCTTGAAGTTTCATTTGAGAAGTCAGCAGTCACCTTCATGGATTTGCCTCTGTGGGTCAATTGGTGCTTTCTCCTGGCAACTTGCAGAATCTTCTCTTTTGTCTTGACTTTGGACATGTTCATTACAATGTGTGTTGGAGAAGCTCCATTTGAGTTGGGGTGACCTCAAGTTCAATATCCCTCTGAAAAGAGTGTCAGAATCTTTGGTGATATTTGGGAGATTTTCATTTAGGATATCCTCTAGCAGAGCTTCCATGCTTCTAGGGCATTCTTCTTCCCCTTGTGGAATACCTATAACTCATGTGTTTGAACAGTTCATGAAGCACGATAATTCTGTCAGTGAATGTTATGCTCTCTCTCTCTCTTTTTTTTTTTTTTTTTTTTTTGTCTCTTAAACTTCCTGAGTTAATTCAAGATCTTTGTCCTCTACTCTGATATCCTTTCTTCTGTATGGTCTAGTCTGTCATTGATTCCTTCTACTGCATCTTTAAGTTCCCTGAATGACTGCTTCAATTCCTTCAGCTCTGCTGTATCCTTTCTATATTCTTCATATTGTTCATCTCTTATTTGATTTTGTTTTTGGATTTCCTGTTGTTTATTTTCCACTTCCTCAGTAATCTCCTTCATTGTTTTTACTATCTATATTTTAAATTCCCATTCTGTCATTTCTAACATTTCTTTATAGGTAGGATCCTCTGCAGTAGCTATCTCATGATCCCTTCAGGGGGTTGTTCTGGTCTGGTTTTTCATGTTAGCAGGATTTTTCTTCTGCTGATTCTTCCTCAGTGTTTTGTTTTGTTGTTTGTTGTTTGTTTGTTTTTCTGTGTTCTTGTTCTGCTTTTTATGTTCATTGCCTCTTGCTGTTTTTCATCCCTCTGACCTAAGGTTTGAAGTGTCCTTTTGTTAAAGGACTAAAAGGATGAATGCAGAGCAAGAAGGAATACAGATTAAAAGAGAGAGAGAGAAAGAAAAGATAATAGAATGTGGGTTAGCAAAAGGGAATATTGACCAAAAGAAGAGATAAATAGAAAAAGAGACAAAGGAATAAAGTACAGTAAGGTACTTTGACCCATACCCACAAATCCAAACCTCTGAGGAGCTGTGTTGGGTTACAGACATGGTAACTTGAAGATCAAGAGGCAATGAAAGGAAAAAGTAAGACAAGAAAACAGACACAAAGAAAACACAGATGACAAAGCAGAGACAGAAAAATCCTGACACTTGCAGCTCTTTGCCTGCCTGAGCAGACACAGGACCCCACCTCCACTAAACAGAGAAGAAAAACAAAAGTACTATAAATCAAACCAAACCAAACAAACACAATACCTTATGGGATAAAATTGGGGGGAAAACAAATATCAGGGACAGAAAAACTAGCAAAAATACAGTTCTCATTATTAAAGAAGTCAACAATGAAAAAATATATTTACATGAAAAACATGAAAAAAAAGAAGAAAAACCTGGGGGGAGGGATTTAAAAAGAAAAAAAAATGTTTGAAAAGAAAAGAAAAATGATCAAACTAACAATAATATCAACTTCAAAAATAACAACAACTAAAGCAATATCTTACTGAATATTGCCTGGGAAACAGATGATCTTCTGGAATATGAGATGCTAATCTAAGCATGGCTGTATAAGATGAAGACAGGAAGCCTCTGGTGACTTCTTTGCCCTCAAACCCCACAGGACTGGGAGCCTGGATCTCTCCTCAGCCGGCTTACTATACATGCCTCCAAACCATGTTCCTTGGCTAAGCAGTGGCTATCCCAGGAAAGGGTATGTTGCTCATATCTCTCAGGAAGTGGCTTCTCAGGAACCCGAACCAGCCTTACTCTAGGACCCTGAGGGCAGAGCTTTCAAGACAACCTTCCCTAAGTGTTCTAGAGAACTAAAAATAGACCTGCCATTTGACCCTGCAATTCCTTTGTTGGGTATATTCCCAGATGACCAAAAATCGCATTACAACAAAGATATTTGTAT